CGTGAATATCTGTCGTGATCGATGTCCGCATTATACATTACGCGCTTTAATTTAAAAACCGTTTTTAATAAAGATAACCGTGTCGTAAAAAGATTAATAGGGAAAAATTATTGGGAAAAATAGCGTAGTCTCCGGACTATTATTACGTACCTTCTGATAATGAATTAATTACAGAAAATGTATATTAAGAATGCGACGATAAAAATGCTCATGTATTATCTGCATGAAATTCGTTACGTTAGTTTGCGAGAAAATAGCGATAGGAAAAAGTTTGCCCCTGTTGTGACGTGAAAGAGGCACAACAGTCCTTTATTTTACCTTACCGTGCCTCTAATTAACGTCCACGCAACAACAATTACGCACGTTCAAGGGATTATCGCGTGGCTGTCGTTTTTATTTTATAATCGACGAATTTGATCACATAATGCCACATCGTCGACGCTGAGTAAAGGTGGTCGGACGTTACGAATAATCAATTGTTTCGTTATCTGGCATCACGTGTATGAGTAAAAGTGAAGCCGACCATAACGCGATACAGTTGTGCTGTACGACAAAGGCTGAGCCGAATATCCATGTAACATCGCGATAATCATCATGGGTCGTACTATCTGTCCGATATAACTCTTTACAGCTAAAGCTACGTCCGGCCGTCAGCAACCTCTGATCAAATTAATTCACCGATCGAGCGCGAAAATATTATTTACGTGATTCGATCAGCCAAAGCAATATTATTCGGAATCCTCTTAAACTACGAGCTAAAATATTTGAGGAATAAAAATATTTATTTATTCGGTAGGCACTATATATAATAATATATTTACTTAAACTATATTCTTTTTTTAGGTAGAATAAATAATTGCTTTCATGTAAAGCTAAGGTTTTGAGAGAATATATTTTCTTGTTTAAAAAATATTTTATATTGATATCAGTATATATGTAAATATGTTATTAGTAAAAAACTACCATACATATTTTTTACTACCTTAATCTACCAAACCAAGTTGATTAGGTTATCATAAGGGGATGAAATCAAAGTAAGGGGATGGGATATGTATATTTATATATCTATTGAATCTTCAAACGCGGACTTCAGATGCAATTGTTTTACTTTTAGCTTTCTTAGCATCTTAACGGCCGAAGTAGCTTTATCTTGAGAGAAAATCGATTGACTTTTCAATATACCGCAAAATTAAACGAAGAGGGAATGATCGCCTCCTCGTTAGAAGTGGAGTAGTTTCGAATGAAATTTCCTCCAGATTTTTATGACTTTTTCGTGCGAAAATATTGACATGTGATGGATTTCAAACGAGAACTGAGGCTGGTCAACAATGCTGCACGTTCTTTTTAGTCAATCGCACCGTTTTGACAATAGAGATGTCAAGTCAGCGACGTGAACACACCACAATGTATCACGCACGTGCTGCTAGCCAACGGCGAAGAATCGCACGTCGCTTTTCGAAACTTTAAACGCCTGTGTCTCCGTGAAAAATCGTACGCACGTGAAATGGAGTCACTCCTCTCGACATTTCATGCTCGTTGCGTGTACACTTGTCACAATGCATATTTGCATGTGCGTGATTACGACGCGCGATGCATCGTTGTGTGTAAAATTATAAGAAAATATTAAAATACAAAAGTAGGAAGTTCGAATGTTTTCATCGTACAAAGTACAAGGTTCCGCGCGTATTTTTGTTCGAAAAATTTTACGCAAAAATTTCCGTATATTTTGTCTTTTTTTCTTTTTTTTTAAACGTTACGTACGATTTTAAAGCCAGAACCAATATTACAACGAAATTCAAGCACTACGCGAGAAATTCCCTATTAATCGATATACAGTTTCAAAATTTCAGCCAATAATTGGCTGTTGGTGTTAAGCTGGCTTTTCTCATTCTATCGTAAGTCTATGCTGAGTTAATACTGGCTGCCGAAAATATATGACCTAACATAAGGCTGATCGTAAAATTCTATATGAGTAGCTAAAATAACGACAATAGATCGCAGCTACGGTTGCAACTAAAGTTCCTCTAGTCAGAGTTAGAATGAAGCATGATGATACCTGATTAGTCTGCATCTGGGAGTGAGAGAGAAGCTTTAAGATTGAAATAACGAAGCACGCTGCAGTTTCTCTCTCGCGCGCTCGCTTACTCTCTTGTTTCCTAAAAATAACAGACGATGTCCTGATTCTGATTTGAGGAACTCTAGCTGTAACTAATAGTGTGTTGTCAACTGTTTGTTAGGTTTCTCACGAGGCATGAGCGTACGATTGCCAAGGCCGATTATAAGTATCGACCTCTTCGTATATGGGATTATTCCGATTTTCTGATAAGATATCGCGATCTTCAAAACAAGACCGATCACGTCGAGTTATTATTTATTGACGACGTTCAAGATTTTAACCGTCGCGGAATCTCGGCAGATCTCTTTCCTTCAATTTTTCGCTGCTCGAGCAAAACAAAGCAATTTTATCGAAAAATACTCCGAGTTCTCGTATTCGAGAGACAATATCTTGTCGATAAACAAAAATAAATTGTATGGTTATTAAAACCACTTTATCAAAGTATACACTGAGAATAAAAAGTGTTCGATATTTATAACTAATAATTACATAGAAAAGTAATCATAGTAGAGAAAATCTGTTTTTATTAAATTCTACTTTATTTTAACAACATCATGTTACTATCACCATTTTCGTGTTGGAACAACCAAAAACTATGACTGGGGCCAGAGGTAACTATAATTTTTATTTAGATCAAGCATTTCTTTTCTCTCAGTGTGAAAGAATGCATAATTTGCTAGATGCATAAATTTATGCAATTTGCTATTTATGTAGATTAAATAAAAAAACAAATATCATAAATTTCTACTCTTTCAGATTACATACAGTGATACAAAATTAGGTTAATGACATTCTTTCGGCAAACTATGGCCTTCTCGCACATAGCAACAGGCAGAAATACAAGTGATATGTGACAACGAAACGTGAATAGACTGCGTTCTCGTCTCGTGCCTCTGTCGTATATATTATTAATACTTTTATTAAAATTTAATTTGCCTCGTATTTCAAATATTATACGATTATGATTTTATGACCGACTGTTTCGAACGTTAGTGGACAAGAGTGTAGGCGCGCTACGTCAAACGAACTGCGGAGCTAACATAATTTGGGGAAGGATTAATACCGTAATGCACATATGTGCGCGCGTTTCCTTCCGTACATATCGACATCGATATTTCTCGAGCGACAGTAATTGTCCTCCAGCATCCCGCGTGCAAAGTATAGATCGAGTGAACAAACGGCTGCGCCAAACCTCTGTTTCCTCGTAAGCCGCTTAGAGAGCCATTGTTGATGCGTTTACATCTGTCACGATCACTCGTCTGACACAGTTAAGGGCAATACCGCTGCGCTGCGGATAATACAACGAGTCGTTCTCGTTTCGGCCAGCTATTTGCCGACTTTTTCTTTCTCGATAGCGTCCTTTATGAGACTTTTTTTTAGCTCGATAGCTATGTTTCTTTCTCTTGCTTTCGTCAAAATGAAATTGGTCCAAGAACGCAAAGAAGCTTGTTCTATAAGATGATCTGTCCGGATTATCGCCGCGATATAAAACGGGAACTGGCCTCCATGTTTATTCATAAGGCGCCTATGCTAATTATCGCAACTTTCCGAGTTCGCGTCGAACTCGGATAAATAAGAGAGAAAACAACATACGCGGGAGATCGGGAATTATAAAACTGTTTGCTTCCACCATACCGCGGATTTGTTGTTCGTGCTTGTGTTTGTCAAACTTCTCGAAAGCGCATTACCGTTTTTGCTGCATTTATCGATAAGTGAATCCCGCGCCTTTGCTTTATCCATTTTTCCAGTCCTGTTAAATCACACAGCCGAAATTAGAGATTTAAGTGCTGAACGCTCAGCAATGCCTCGGGAAGATCACAGGTCAGTCATTGGCACGTGCATTAATAATGGCATATCATCGCGGGATAATGATTAACATATCCGGGTAATTGCCGTCCTATATCGAACGGTATCGAGATTAACCTGGATGCGATTAGAGCTTATTTCGTCGCAGCGAAACAAACGAGATGTTATCGAATGTTGCGCGTGTCAAGCAAGTTTGTGAATTTAAGTTAACATACGTGACGATGTCATGGCAACAATAATAAACGGCGAGGCAGTTAATTATTGTTCTTTTTTGTTTTTGGTTTGTTGGTTTGTAGGCATAAGTGGTCGACATAGAGATCCCTATTAATAATTAAAATAATTATTAATTATAATCGTTAAAATTTGCCTCAGGTGAGACGCTCAGTTTTTAATTTAGAGTCAGACGTGAGTTTTTCAATTGTGAATGTCGAAATTGCAAATGTAATATCACACATATAGTATCTTACGATAAGTTTCAAACAACAATTATTAATATGAGGAGAAGCGAAAGAAATCATCGGCTTCGTTCAAAATTACGCCCGGATCGAGATTTTATCTCTACTTTGGAATTCTCTAAACTTTTTAATGTCTGTATATTTTGAAGGATCAGTGTGTGTGTAATACACATGAAAACTGAAATCCTATTTAACGCTTTTAAATAGCAGGAAATGCTATTTATGCTACAAAATGCATTTAATTGCAAATGTAGATCAAAATGACACACACATATATATAGTATATATATATACACACAAGTTGCTTCATAAAATTACAGCAACATTAAAATACAATTGTTTTACTTCACCTGAAAAATCCGAAATTATTTATTGAGAAGCGCGAAACGAGTACTGTAAAAGCTGTTGTAACGCGTGAATTAGCTGTTGTAACGCACATTAGAACTGCACGACGCGACTCGCGTCACATTATTTTGCAAATTTGCAGCGTAAAAGTAAGATCAACTTTGTCTCCGCGCATTTAGCGCTTGTGTAGGAAAAGCGTGCACTTTCCTATTTAACTTTACCCAGCCACGCCTTTTATTTACTTGCACTTGAAAGAAAAAGAATATAGAGCTACTCACTGGGCGACGAAGCATCCTCGGCAGGAGAAAATCACCGCGTTATTGTTGTATATCTAGCTCAATTGATTTTTTCCAGTCGCGCGCGCGTGTCTCGTCTTCCTCATACCGTCGTACTGCCGAAAGACGCGGATTTACCCGACTCACGCTAGTTGAATTTTCACGGTAAACTCGCGCAACGACTCGACGAAACGGTCTAGTGATTGTCAACCGTCGCGCTTGACACGAGAGCGACCGACTCGTAGAAGCTCCCCGTGCCAGATATGCGCGTTATGAGAAACGTCAGAACACTCAGTGCGCCGCGTACGTCGACGATACACCTGTTTATATCGCGAATGATAAGCTCTCGATCACCTACAACAAGCTAGATCGCGGAGACGCAATTATCTGTCGCCTTTCCGCGCACGTGACGCCTCCGGATTTGAAACTGTGTCGGGATTATTTACACTCTAAACTTCATTATAGCAACCAAAGTCAAGGTTGACCTCAGCGCCAGCTCGATCCTGTTTATATGAGCGCCTCGCAAAGATAAACATAAACATAATTTAGTTGTCCAAAATATAGTTGTACAAAAATACACGGATCAAGAGAGATTTAGAAACTATTGTAGTTTCGCTTTTTATTTAACTTTAGAGCAGACGCACGAATGGTGCGTAAACCGACCTCTCTTCCCGATAAGTCACTGAGACGTTGAAACATTTAGAGACGTTTCGCGATTTAAACAGTTTCCCCGAATAGAATAGAAATTTGGAAACTATTACAGTCTCGTTTTTTTTTGTTCAACTTTAGAGCAGGTGCGTGAACGATGCGTCTCTCTTCTCGATAAGACACTGTAACGTCGAAATTCACGATTTAAACGGTTTCTCTGAATAATTAAAGGAATACTACTTTTCGCACATAATTCGCAGTTACAAAAATCTCAAGAAATCCTCGACGCTTTTCGAAGATCTTTACGTCACGTGATGTGAATTTACAACAACCACTGAACATTACATTGCACGAACATCAATTGATCTGTTCTTTGTAGATGAACTAATAGCACTAACTTCCACTAGCTTTCTCTTTCTCTTTTTACACCAAGTCACAACTGTACATCTGCTTCTTCTTAAATTCCGAAAGTATGCACTAGCTTGGTAATTAATTTTTACGACGCGCGGCAATAGCTTACCTTAAGCACGCTAAATAGCTTTTTCTCCTTTTGTTCGATTTCGGTGGTAAAATATGGCTCGGCTACAAAGAACAGACCTAATATTTCCTACCGGACGTCACATCGCAACACCAACGCGCGCGTGATCTCCGAATTAATTCGCGAAATTTATAAGAGATCTTGAACTGCCTACCCCGAACATTCGCTCGTAGCTTCCGTCGTGTCAGCTCTCGCGTTGGATACACTAGTCCATTTACGTTTCCGGCTTATCAAGCTCGTCTCATTACGCGCGAAATATCCCGGAGCTTGCGGGAGCAGTCTGTTCGAGACCGTCCGCGACGTGTCAGCGCGTCCAACATCGAGCGCCGTTTCAACGCGACTGCCTTCCTGAGATATATCGTCTCTATATCGTTGGATCTTACGCATGTCCGATTTCCGACCCCCTCCTCTCTTTCCCTCTCGCTCAATCTCTCTCTCCCTCTCCCTCTCTCTCTCTCTCTCTCTCTCTCTCTTTCTCTCTCGTGCGCGCACACCCCCGTGACCGGCGTTCGTTTCGAGTTTTCCTCGTTGCACCCGCTCGTCTTGTCGACGCGAGTGCGCCTGTCGACTCGCGCCCAACTCCCCGCCAACTGTTGCTTTCGGAGTTATACAGGGTGGCTGGAATCAAACGGGATTGCACCCTGAACTTCGCGATGTAATCTGAGAGAAAAGATATCTAAAAAATAAAAGATACTCTACGGATATTAATAACGTATTTAGTTATCCCTTTATATTTGGCAGATCTAAACAAATTGAAAGAATCTTTTTAGCATTCAAATGAGGTAGATGATGCCTCTTGCATGTTGTTTCTAAAATATCATTTTAAAAACATATTTTGGACGATTTTTACTATGTAGTGGCAAAAATCGAAACTACTGAAACACCGACGAATAGAACAGGTGAACAGCTATAGAGTTAATGTGTCCTCCATCTGTCGCATACACAGAGAATTTTATGGTAAAGATTATTGTAGAGTTTTGCAATCAAGGAATAGATCGACATTTTGAAATAATTAACTATCAAAATAAAAATTTTCACAAGTTTCGAGTCATCAACGGTGGACCCTTTTCGCGAATGAAACTTCGGCACAAACACGTGCGTGTCTTAATACTTTCATTTCGCCCGGCGGTTAAACGATACGCAGCACGAAACGGAATATTGAACGTTTGCACCATATTTTACCATCGAAATCGAACAAAAGGATCGATCAAAAAGCTATTTAGCGTGCTTAAGGTAAGCTATTGCCGCGCGTCGTAAAAATTAATTACCGATAAAACGACGACTTCTCGTGTTCGTAAATATCACGTCTCGTATAGGAGACGTATAATGGAAAATATCCGCCGCCGAGTCCGTATACATATTCTGCAGCAAAACGAGAATGAACGCGAAAAAAACAACGCGCGCATTTAACGCTAACAACGGTTCGCACTTCATTAAACGATCGACTTCGTAATCAGAAATAATTAAGAAGCTTACGTGGTACGCTACCACGGCGAACGGCTATCAAACTCGGAGTTTGCGATGTAATTTTCGCAGATGCGTGCGGCATATGATACACTAGCGTCGAAATTTCGATCATCCAACACAGGCCAAAGGAGAATTTTGATGGCGCTGCCGTCGAAATTCGTTATATTTTTCACGGTTCCTCTCTAAAGCTAGAGGAATTAAATTAGCAGGATCAAACCGAACTTACATTATCTACTATTTATTTTGTATTAATTTATACCACCAAAAAATTTTATACCTCTCTCTGGTGCCATTTTGGAAAAAACAGTGGCGCTGCCAACTTAATATTAAGTTAATATTAAGCAGAACGACACGAAAAAGATGAAGAAAAAGAAAAACAAGTACATAAATAGAAAGGCCCGAATTTATACTAATTTGTATCACTAAAAAGAAATATTGTACTTTGCGCTATTAAAAAAACAATAATAGTGTTGGTAGCTTGATATTAAGCCAGTAGGACCATACGAAAAAAAGAACAAGTGTACAAATAGAAAGCCTGAATTTGTACTAATTTTTAATTTTGCACTTATTCTTGTCGAAGGAACTCCTGATTGATTCCATTTATATTATATTATGTAAAGGTACTTTACTCCTAAAGCCAATAAAGATTTGGAAATGGGTATGATTTTCGAAGGAATGACGTGGGTACAAAATCTGAAATTTCATATTCGTATAGTACGAATTGCTATGCCTCCATTGTTAACAACGTCACAATTTTTCCAAAACTGTACGAGAGAGGTACAAAATCTCTTTTGGTGGTACAAATCGGTACAAAATAGATATTAAATAAAGTGGTAGGACCGATTTGATTCTGCTCGTTTGGTCCTGTTAGCTTTAGAGAAGTGACTTTAGATCAATCTCACTTATCTGTCTACGCATTTAGGGAAACACGATTGATTCAGGTATTCGCAAGCATCCGGTGGTTTCGTGAGCTTTGTACTAGAGAATTCCTCGTGTATTATCGCCTAATCAAATCACGATATCGTCATGTCCCGGGATTATCGGCTTTTATCGTGCTTCAGTCAAATAAATGTTTCACCCTTTCAGTTGAAACGGCGAGACTCGCCCGTCTGAGTTCTCTGCGCCAAAACAAACGGTGAATCAAATCCACGAATAGTTCGGAATTATTATTGGAACGTTGTAAATGAGAGTTATTTTCAAATATTTGCATGCTTTTTGTTAAAATATTTTCATATGTTTTGTTGTATAAAAATTCAGCAGTCTGAGTGAACACAGTTGCGTACAAATAAGTCACAGTAAGACAAGCGATTAACGAATTGTTGAGAAAAATTTTTTCCTTCTCAAATGTGTGATAGTATCGCACTATCAGATGTTAACGCGCAATAAATGTTAGATCGTGATAGGAACACACACATGTGCAATAGTGAACTTTTAATCTGAAAGATGCGGATATAATTCGTTTCAGAGAGATTTCACACGCTTATTAAATTTAATTAATTAACATTTTGTTTATTAAATTAAATTAATTAACTTAATATTTCGCGGCTGTACTAAGAGAGACAAAATGACTTCTCCCGGTAATTATGGATAAAAGGCGGAAATTGATTAGCTTTTCGACTCGGAAGTGAAAAGCGTCAGTCAGCGTTCTTCGGCGACGGATGAAAGGAACCGATTGGGAATATAGGATAGGCGCTGTGTAATTGAGAGGAACTCATGCGTATTCGTGATCGTCGACGATACTGCTGATAACATTCTGCGACTAAAGAATCATGATATCAGCAGCAACGATAGCGTACTGATTTAATCAGACAGAGAGAGATATTGATTTATTAATGGCCATTACATAGCGACTTCCGGCAAATCAAGATTATGCCGACCAGAAATTTATCTCATGATCCTGATCAGTTATTTAGTCTGTAGATGATATTATCGAACCCCAATTATTAATAAGGACTTAATTATTAATAATTTTTATTATTAATAAGGTCCTGATGCCACGTGTTGCATTATATAACTTATCAGGACCTGATTAATAATATCATCTTATATATTGAGAGGAGAAAGATGTTTAACAAATAATAAATATTTGTTTGATGGGTTCTAATAACATATATTTATTTAAATCAAAATTTTCTTTAATGAATACACTAATAACACTGGCAACTCTTGGTATTTTTATTGTGTGGATTTTCAAATATAGTGAGAGAAAAATATTTAAAAATTAATAAGTAATATTTATACTTTAATCTATATTCTTTTATTTAAATAGAGCAAATAATTACTTTTATGTAAAGTTAGAGTTTTTCTAAGGTTTTAAGAAAGTTTATATTTTCTTATTTGAAAAATGTTTTGTATCAGTGTAAGTAAACACTGTAGCTACCGAGTAAATATTTACTATTTCTTAGATATTTCTTCTCTCAATGTACAGAACCGTATCAAGCTGACATCAAGCTAATGAAAACCTTGGAATAAATTTTTGGTCGGAATTGTGTAAGTAAACACTGTAGCTACCGAGTAAATATTTACTATTTCTTAGATATTTCTTCTCTCAATGTACAGAACCGTATCAAGCTGACATCAAGCTAATGAAAACCTTGGAATAAATTTTTGGTCGGAATTGTGTAAGTAAACACTGTAGCTACCGAGTAAATATTTACTATTTCTTAGATATTTCTTCTCTCAATGTACAGAACCGTATCAAGCTGACATCAAGCTAATGAAAACCTTGGAATAAATTTTTGGTCGGAATTGTGTAAGTAAACACTGTAGCTACCGAGTAAATATTTACTATTTCTTAGATATTTCTTCTCTCAATGTACAGAACCGTATCAAGCTGACATCAAGCTAATGAAAACCTTGGAATAAATTTTTGGTCGGAATTGTCACACACACATCTCTCATGTTCTATGAGCCGATGCCGCTCGGAAATTATTACGCGTCAGCAAATATTGATTATTTTATTGATTAACCCGAGTAAATTAATCTGATTATGTATGAAACGCGGTTAGGACACAATTGTGGTGCATTTTCGTGACAGGGCGGATTATCGGGAACATGTTGGAACGACTATTGAAGTAGAAAAGTTTCATTAATTTTCACGCATACGCGCGTGGGTGTCCTGAAATTAAAATATTTAACGACCCGAATCGACAATTTCGCAAACTCGGCACTGCGAATTGGAGGTAAAATCGCCGAGTCACGCATGTTTACAGACGCCTGTTTATTTTCACATATTGGCTAAGCGAATCGTAATCAGCAGATAAAGTGCTATCGATAAAGCATGACTTAGGGGTGAATCTTTATCCGCTCTGATGACCGCGTGCATACACGTGGCACGTTAAAGTGTGTAACTGCGTAACTATGGAGCCGTGACAACCTGAATAATTAACGATAAAGAAGCCGAGCTCACGATTAGGAAAATTAAGTCAAGGTATATTTCTTTCGTCTTCCGTTTTATATTCGGTATATAATTAAATCGCTGTGTAAGTACGATATAACAGAACCGCTTATATAACAGGGATAGAGGCAAGGGAGAAATCCGAGATTTTTCTCCCGGTAAACTTAATAAATCGCTCAGTAGCGCAAGAGTGTTGAGAAATCTTTAATTGCTTTAAAATCAACTGCCTTTTTTCGAATCTGTGAAGAAGTTTAATAACAAGTTGTTGCAAAGTCGATAATCAGTGAAATTGTGCGTAGATACGATGCCGTCTACAGCACACGCATTATGGCTAAACCATCTCATAATGGTTAACAGTGCATTAACATTAATTCTGCTATCACAAGCGATGAGTTTCAATCAATTATTATCCTTAACCGACGCTCACGGCGCATATTGCATTTAGCGCAGCTACGTAGAATATATAACAATTAATTTTTAACGATATACGATATTCCGATATTACGAATTTCCCGTGCGCGAGATTCCATTTTGCACATCGTGCTTTGTCATACCGCACAGACGAAATCGGACAGCTAAAATGAAAATGGCTCGCACGCCTCATTCGTGTTGGGAATGGTTCATACGTAAAAACAGCAAATCGTGCAAATAGGAAACTAATATCTCATTTCTTTGTCGTACTGGAAACTTCGAGCTTTCTCTATCTACACTCCTGTTGCATGCACAGGTACCGTAAAAAAGAAATTATACTTATGTCAAACAAATTGTGCCGCTATTACGTCATTAGTCTGTGTTAAGCAGAGACGGAGCGATTCCAATTAATCTTCCCGGTGTCAAGTCAGCTGTATAAATTCCAGTGAATTTTCATCAGAATGTGGATTTATCTGATTTCCGGGATATTTATGCGGAACTCACTTTATAATACGTATGGCAACCAGCGAGAATTAATGTGCGACATATGGCACACGCTAAAATGGTTAAAGTGCCTTACCCTGTATAACATTTTCAAAAAAAAAAAAGAGAGAAATGTAGCAAGCTATTTCGGCGGCTTTCCCGCTGCAGTTACTGCGCCCTCATCGCCTCGTTCGCCGCCGAACTCCGACACCAAATGTAGTCAATCGACGATGAATAGTCGACGTTGATTTTCGCAACGCCGAGATTCGACGTCGTTGCGTCGAGGTCATAATACTTTCGCTTGTCTTTATCAGCGGATTCGAGATGCGCCGGTATTCATCGGGCGCACGATTCGATGAATTAAACATGGTGTCCCACTCTTTGATGCATTGATGCACCCTCGGCGGGCGATGAGAAACCGCATGGTGCCTTTGTATTAAATCACGCTGGGTCTCGCAGTCGCGTACGCTAACAAGATGAATTATTGGCTAGGCGCGAAACGCTTCAATTGTATACACAAAATGCGCGAGTCACTTTTTCAAAATATATATTCCTGGCATGACTCCAAGTGAATTATCTCGGAAACCCCAAAGGTGACATGTATATAAATGTTTTTTCGCGTGTATCAACACCGCGTATACGAAAAAGAAACTTCAGTTGGCGTGACTGATTGGGGACCAGTCGAAAAACTCGCTGACGAGAAATAATATCTCCATTACTATGGCCGAAAGGAGTCGTCTGAATATTCAACTGCATTAAAATTTGGTTGAAAAAACTGAGAACAATTAGCTGAAAGCCTCCTGCAGGAATCTTTCTGCTCCTACAACCGAGTTGTTTTATCTGGTCTCCAGATAACAAGTTCAGTTACACTAACGGAGTTGTTTTTTCCATGTATAATAAAAAGTAAAACTTGCACACACATAGCCAAATAATATTACATACATAAAAACGTGTCTTACGGGAATTTTCACTATACGGAAAAAAGATTTCAATTCGTGTAACTGATTGGGGAGCAATCGAAAAGCTCTTCGACGAAAAATAATATATGAGTTACTTGAACATTCGTCTGAACATTCAGTTGCATCAAAACTCGGTTAAAGTAACCGAGAGTAATTGACTGAGCAGAAACTAGGAATCTTTATGTTGCTACAAAACAGAATTTTTTATCCGATTCCCAGGTAACAAAAAGTTCAGTTACACTAAAGGAGTTGCTTTTTTCCGTGTATTTCATACAAACCGGAGTTCCAGAAATAATTGATTTAGATTACGCGCGTATCTCAGAGGAAGCAAACAGATCGATAATTAACGATAGTCCCTCAAGGCAAGACAGTGGGTTGTCAAGAGCAAGCATGGAGCAAGGTACTCGGCGAGACCTCGAAATAGTCATCTCGCGATTATACGAAGCTTACTTCTCTCTTAAAATGAATCAGTGAAACATGAATCACTGAAAACAGTGAATATATACTGATTTGCAGTTATAAGTGTTGCACTGAAAGTGCTCAGTGCTATACTTATAACTGATATCAGTGACTATTCACTGATTCACTTTAATAAAGTTCGAAGTCAGCTCGGCTCGATCGCGTATTACGATTATTGTCCTTTCGATCGCAGCGCGGTAGGCCGTACTTCGACTTTAATTATGTATAGCTCGTCGCATTTGAGAATCGACGACGTTCCTCGGACGTTGTCGCACTAAGCTCGTTATTTTGCTCATAATCGTGTAATCCGGTATGACTTGGCCTCTTGCGCCTCTTCAGGGTGTCAATAGATGCGTGATATCACCAATTTCGACCTCGCCCAGTAGAATGTGAAAAAGATCTCTCATAGTCAGGTGATGAATCGTCTCGTTTATGTGGCCAGAGACGTAATCTTGTATTACCGGCAATATGTCTGGCTTAATGATGTCCAATGCCTCCGGTGTCAATTCTTCGAAGACCTGTAAACCATCAAGATCGGCTTATGGATGCGCACGCGTTTGATGGGACAACATACCGACATGGCTATGACTCACTCCGCAGGGAGATCTTGTCCCATTTTTCTTGTCGAATTTTATGCTCGAGCATTAAACTTGAATTATTCAGTACGAAGTCTCAGGTGGACATTGAATCAAATATATATTATATAAAATCTGTATCTTGGGTGGAAAAAGACTAATGTTCGTCTCATCGATTTTCAGTCACAGAATATGCACGAAGAGAATTTTATAGCGAAAATTACCATAGAAGTTTATAAGCGAGAAACAGATCGACATTCTGCAATAGTTAACTATCTTTTTGTTATACGTACTATTTAAAAATTTTAAGAATTGAAATGTGTGTTGCTAAAAAAATTTGCTATGTTCTTTGGCAATATAAACCTTATTGACAATCTGTTTCCGCGATAACGAAAAATTGAAAAGAGTTTATATGAGAAAAGCAATCATAACATTCTCTCCGTGTAGTAGTATTTATAAAAACTTGTCCTGTAATAGAAAATATTGAACGGGTGGATATTAATCGCTTTGTTTTTCGTAAGATATGAGAATGACATGCAGTCGTAACTTCTCATCGCGGCTAATCGACTGAATATTAATTATCGGCTGTCTCCGACAAATTGTACATCTGGTACAATCTGGTATTTATTGTAATCATCAGGGGGAAAATAATTAATTAACGGTATTCAGTGAAATCGACATTTGTGCAGTTGAGAGCCGTGTCATCGAGCGAGACTCGGGCGAATCGAGTGTGTAATTAATATTCGGCAGACGACGCGGAATTTCGGTTTCATTGGCCGGATAAGTGCGACCTCGCCCCACTGATGCTCGCATGCATTGCGAATAATCGCGATGGACATTATCGGGCTATAGCCGTAGAGATCATTTCTAACACTACAAGTATTATTGTTCGCGAAAGACAAGCAGCCGTAAAATTAATTTTGTTTCGCGAGACAACTGCGCGACTTGCACAAAAATGTTATAAACTCGTATAAATCTTCACGCGTAGTTCGCGCGTAGTAGATCGCGTGCTATAAAGTTTTTACGATGGCAAAGTTACGAGGAATCATAAAACGACATTTTATCCGTCCCTGCTATTTACAAGAAGCAATACCGCACGTTTAGTTTTATGAAAGTTCGCGTGAGTGCCGCAACTTCAGTCGAGGTTCGATGTTGAAGAGATTTCATTAGATATTATTGTAAGAACTAATTTTCGCATAAATTATTGGTTAACCCGCGGGCAATGTTTCAAAGCAGTTTTGATCGTTAATCAAGTAAAATTTCACAATTGATTAAAATAATCGGCAAATCAATAATGAAAATCAATCACAATAATCATATATATATATACATATATATCAGTTTTATTCAGAGTTAGATCCAATTATGACATTTATGTCTGACATTATAATCTCGAATAATTTAGACTCGTATTAATAATTGCCAATTGAAACTTGAGCTTCATAGATCCGTATTAATATCGTATAATAATCATCCCTTGTGAAACTTGTCTCATGAGATACTCAGATATTTATTCATGTCCAAGTTTTCCAGTTGAATTATAATATATGTAACATTTATACTTGTAATCGCGCGACTCATAATTGAAAAATTCTTTTCTAATTCTGAATTCAAATCTGAGTATCTCATTAAAGACAAGTTTCAAGTAATAACTATTAGCCTAAGAGTTTTATTCAGAGTTAGATCCAAGTTCTTTCAATCCAATTATGACATTTATGTCTGTAGTCACAATTCAACGGAAGAACTTTCATCTAACTCTGAATTTCAATCTAAGTATCTCACTTAAGACGAACTTTAAGTAATCATTGTTAATACAAGCCTTAATCGATATTGTCGAAGTTGATTAATTGATTAATCAGACTTTGATTTAATTGATTATACACTGATCAATAACTGGTTTCATCAATCTATAGAACTATTTGTGATTACACGCGTGACGATTGATTAGTCTGGCTACCGATTTGCTGATTATTTCAATGAAGTGAAATTTTAACCGATTAATATCCAACACCGATTTCAAGATCGAAGTCGACTCATGGGAAGCCTCACCTTGCTCATAATCTTGCCGATATCCACGCCGCCCATAAAGTTCTCCAGGTGTATCTTGATCCCGCGTAGGGAAAAGTCGAGGACAAAGCTCTTCATGTACATTCCTCTGTTGTAGCCGAGCGCGGTGTTCACGTAAGTGCGAAAGTCGCGTATGGTCGCCTGAAAAGGGCCCGCTCCGCGTAGTCTATACGTGTCGCCCAACACACCGGATATGTTGTAATCACCCGACGCGTAAATCTCGGGAATGGAAATGTTGATTGCGATGGTAGGGCCGATCAGCGACAGCTTAGCGCGGTCGATCAGGAAAGTCGACAACTTCCTCAGTTCTAGGTTCTCGATCACCAGATGCAGTCTACGCAGCAGATTTGCGATGAAGCAGTAAATGATATCTTGGGATTGATGTTTTTATTTGTTTATCGCGCTATAATATCTGCATATTGGTTCTTATTGACCTTTATTTTTTTATTTGATCGTACATCAGAGGGAAAAAGCCATCACTCTTCTCTAAATCCTATTTGTTTTATTTTTAGTGCATTTCTCCGTGCATAGCATGCGAATCGAAATTTTGAACAAGGCCAAAGCAGTGCATCAGCGGTATATTAGCGTTGCATTAATGATGTATCTCGGAAACGCGAGACAAAGCGGTTTGTACGCTCGCGCTCATTCGCCGGGGTTCTAGAACAATTTCTGGAACGCGGCGTACACGCGATCGCGTAACATTTCGCAGACTTACTTTCCTAATTCCGGATTGTCTGTCTCAATGTCGATCTCGTCGAGGGTAAATGGCTCCAAGGGAGGTATGCCCAACTCCGGGATGCCGTTGTGCATTCGGGCGCGGAATCTCTCCAGGAATCTTCTCAGCTTAAACTCGAGGCCCATCGACGCCGCGCTGTCAACTATCCTCTCCAGCGATTAGCATAAACGCGAATAACATCGCGACGATTACCGCGCGATACCGGTACTCGCGATACTCACTGTATCCGGTCGTCGCCCTGGTGGCGTTGATCAATAAATTTCTCGGCATCTCCACCGCGCTGGTTACTACAATCAGAAGACGGCAGAGAGAGAGAGAGTCTCTCTTCATTTGCATTCTCGTTTATCTCGTTTATCTTATTGCTCCTGCTTGTTATTGCCGCGCGCTACGGAGGTCAGGCATTAACTCTTTCGGTTTCGCCGCGACAGTCGAGTTTCCGGCGCATTGTTACGCCACGGCGACTCTTCGGCGTACTTTTATTGTTTATACGTAAGCGCGCAAAATTGCACGTTCCGCGACAAGTCCCGAAATTCGTTTAGTTCCGCCAGCAGAACAATAGCGGCTGAATAAATGGGGGCGGCGCACCGAAAGAGTTGATAATAGAAGCGCGGAAATCGCATGCATATGACACATAGCGGGGCCATTAATTAATCAGCACCGCGGTGCATTCCCTTGCGTGTAATACGTCGGTCTTTGACACCTGTCATTTGTATATAAATGCAGTTTTGCGGCAGATTTCTAATTTATTCCGCGAGTTCTACGTTGGAACATTTATCGTGCTATTCTTGGTACGTTTGATACTCCACATTTTTCGCGGAGCGTATTCGGCGTAAACATTACTGGGAAGAGCCGAGAGCTGTGCTTCGACTTGTAATCGTCGATGATTCGCGTCTGATTACACTGATCATCACGACGCATTGTGGTCGTTTCTAGGGAAGGAAAAAACGACTTGCTATTCGTTTCACGTGCGGCTATTCGTCCACGCGTGCTCTCGTGCAACGATTTCTCGGAAACACGTAAACTTTGGCACGTAAAACGCTCGTAGAAATGTAAATTATAATTATGCGGGTGTAGCGAGGCGTTCTCTACTTAAGTCACTCGAGTTAGATCGTCTTACGCTCACTTCTGAGAAAGTTCGCCAGCAATTTCCGTTCAAATTCCCATTGGAAACAGAACTTTGACAGCTGAAAGCGTGTAACGTTTAATCCGATTGTGACATTATTTGGGGACGGTTCGATAGCGCTTACTTGAAAAGGAATTAAAAAGCTATCTGGGTCGCGAGTTGCCGTGATGCAATTACGATAGTATCGTTCCGTGATGAAGGAGCGGGGAGAGGAACGTAATCTCTTCTCAATCAAGTGCACATGCCGTCGCGTTATTACATTTCATGTTATGACATTACCGCGTTACTCCGCGACCCATACACGACGTCTGTATATTTGCGTTTCCGAGTTCCATTAGCTTGTCGACTCCATGCGCGTTGGAGTTTATGTTAACGCGAATTATGTCCTTCAATGCTGCCTACGGTAGTATAATTGTTTGCTAACTTTTCGACTACGTGCTCGGTTAAAACGCATTTAAAATGTGATTAAAACTTAATTTACGCGGCAAAACGCACAGACTTATCGCGAGTCAACGCTCCTCAAAGAAAGTAGGAAAAAGCTACACTCGAAGAATATGCACGATTAGCTAATAAAAAGTCGGTTATCGTTTGGATTTGACTAAAAATTCGGGATGAAACTCAGGAAATCGGAATTTAATTCTCCGAGACGTCCAATCGAATTTCAGGGTCTCTACCGATCGAGTTTATTACGATTTCCTATTGTAAGTATTATTTTTTCATTTTCCCCAAGGAGATGCAGACTCTACTCCTAGCTCTAGTTCTACTCCTTATCAACAGCCATTCGCAGAAGCATTTGCAATGTTCGATAAGCTATTATACGTGTATATATTCTTTTATTCCGATGAACCATAAAGCTGCACCGTAAGCATAAAGTGAGTACTCAAGCCTCCCTGAAGGGACCATTGCAATTTGAGCGAACACATACTGTAGTCCGTGGCAGTGTCCGTAACGCGATGCAACAATTGTTTTTGTCGTTGCACAACTCCCGTTACTGTAACAAACGATCACAAATCAACGAGATACCCCTGCAAACCAGAACGGATTAGCCGAGGAACGAAACGCTGATCAAAAATCGGCTCGCTGATTACTACTGATAGTTATACAGTATTCGACGTAATGGTATCCATCGCTTTTTTACTGATTAAAATGATCAGTTACAATGGTAGGAAAAAAATTCTAGATGCGATTGATCAATCTTTCAGCGGCGTGAAAATGCAATAATAAAAATTTTGAAAATGTTTTTTCTCGTTAAAAGATCGAGGTTTTTTTTGACAGAACCATATCTTTTTTGTCCGTTGTATTGTATAAAGGATCAAAATAACTGCAATAGTAATATTATTTTAATTTATAAAGTTATTTTTATTAATATATTTAAGAGTGAAAATACAAGCAGAAGATAAAATAATGTTTGAAATACAGTGTAATAAGAGAATAACGTTAATTTGAGAAATGTTTGAAATATAATCCATTTCCTGCAGCGCAAAGTCCTTTATAGTAGACTTTCATGTGTCGTATTAATTAAAACATTTCAATTTATTTATTATATGCTTTCACCTGCTTATGTTACACGTTGCTGAAATTGTTCATTATTATTTTACTCCCTTTTATTATAAAATAGCAGTAAAGATAACGTTATGAGTTACTATTGAATTTGTTTTGATTTTCTTTACAACCCTGCAGATAAAAAAATATAGTTATCAAAAGAAGGTGACCTTGATTTTTACAAAAAGAAAACATTTCCGAAAATTTTATCATTGTATGTTATCACCGCTCAAAAACCGATTAATTGCGCTTAGAACTATTTTCTGTCCGACTGTGACTGACAAAAATATGGTAGGTACCATTATGGCGAACAAGCAATATGACAAGCAGTGATCTTCGATAGAGTGTATCGTAATAATACAGGAACACATATAAAACGTTTTTGTCAAGTAACTCTGTGATCATAGAGTAAATAATTAATGCTTCTGAATTAATGGGAGCGACAAGATGCGTAACGTCTCTTCTTTTTCAATTCCCGTTGCGTTTAATAATCAGAAATTCGGTAAATTATACCTGATATCGTACGGGATACATTTGAAATATGCTCCCATCGCGATCGCGCTGTTTCTCGTCACGTCCAACGACAGATCACAGTTTGAATATCAGTGTATGCTCCCGCTTTGACATCAAATAACGTAGAGAGTGTCTACACGCGTGACCATTGCCAGGTGCCTTTATTCGCACACGTTAATTAAACCGTATGCCGGCGGCGCTCAGATTGCGAACGCAAAAAATCAACTGTCACGTGTCCGAGAGTCGGGCTTCTGACCGCGAAGCTGTTACAGTTACGATTCCGCAACGCGAATTAGACGTTTGTCAAGTCCCGAGCATCAGCGCGTAGTTACCGTGACTTACGACGTAACGTATTACGTGAGAGGAGATTAATTGAGCGACAACCGAGTGATAATCCCGTCCAACGAGAGGCAAAGAGAGTTTCACATGTTCAATTGAAACTCGTTATATCTCACTCGCTACGCGTTCACGCGCACTTCGGCGCGTCAACGTTTTTACATAAAAATTGCGTGTTGCGCGTCAAGCTTCAGTTCCATTTCATTCTCATCTATAACATAACGTTCATGTAACAATGCATAAAAGATCGTGAGCAGCGGCGATTTTTCGTTATGACTTTTTACCGTGCGATATCGCCGTGCAGATAACGTGAAAACGACAAGAAAATGACGTGTATTACTATTGCTGTTGATTAAATCGGGAATTTTAATTGATATCAAGCATATAACAAATCAGTCGCGCAAATTGAGTGAGAAGCAAGTTGAAGAAAAGCAAACATTGCTTCACCGCCGATCTATAACTCTTTGTTTACCGAACACATGTATTGATGATTAAATTGAATTAATCTATTGATATGAATAAATATAGTGCTTGATATATCGAGTAATTAAGGACAAAGAATTATTACGAATGGAAATACTTTCCGCGGATACGAATAGCTGAAACATATTTGTTTGGTTACACGCATATTGAGTTGTTATGCTCATTTTAGCTTTTATTTAATATTCTCTTATTTTTTGTTACACGTTGTGGCGTAACGAATGAAGGTCTAATTAATTAATGTTACGTACGCGCTCACTTAATCTCCGATTACATTTTTCTAGAGATTATGCAAAATATCGCGTTTGCGAAGACACGTGACTAATACCGACATGGGCAGTAAAAAACATATTTTTCATCATTCCTGCTTGATTACTAATTTATTGAACATACGTTGAGCTATAAGAAGCACCGTGTAGCAGTCTGAATCATCGTTGTTTTTACGGACAAACTTGCGAATGCATTTTTTCGATAATTGAAACTGGTGTTTCTAAGTTTTAAAGTTTCTAATAATATCAAATAATACCAAATTTCTGATATCTAATAGATTTTCTAATAACATTTTCTAATATCTTATAATATCAATACGTTCTTCCTCAATGACCTTAATTGCTCCAAAAGTCTGAGAGTTTCTCGAGATGACTCAAGTGAAACAGAAAATCACGGTGACGTGAAAACGACGAGAAAATGATGAAATTGTGATCGAAAGGTGAGTTTTTTCGTCATTTTCTCGTCATTCTAACATCATTTTGATGTAATCGTGATTTCTCGTTCTATTTGAGGATGATCAGTTGTTCCTTCTCGCTCTCGATCTATTCGTCACAGATCTAACCGCGATCTTGAATTAATTAAACTAATTAATTAAACTATCTCAATTTAATTTACTTGGAATTACAAGCAGTTAAGTATTGGAGATAATGAAGACTCCCTTTCAGAGCACGAGGCATAAATATTGATCGCGAGACGGATCAGTGTCACACATATCAGGAGTCCATAAACTACCATCATTTCGAAAGTAATTCAAGATACTGCAAAATATTATCTCACGCGTTCCCTTAACGGTTGTACATTCATCGCCGTGGGAATACCTTTATCGCGCCGTCCTGTCCTGGACTGTTTTTTAGTGCAATTTGCATTTTTAAGAAACGTGTCGCTACATTTATCATTTCGCGTGCCGGTAAAATATTATCTAGACAGTCGATCAACAGCGCGCGGAATGACGTACAGTCTATTCTGCAATTCTACTAGAAATTTGGGTCATCTGATACGTAATAAATATCGCACTCATTATTACGCTAATTATTACGAACATTGTCACGTTAATCGTCGTGTTTGGAGGGCTCTTGAGTGAGCTACGCGACTTTGATTCATAAATACGTTTGAGTAGCAAAGCGACTCGAGCCATCTCACACTTCGAGTCGTCACACTTCACTAGTACTTTCGATGGTTACTCGGCGAGAAACGATCTTCTTAGATCTGCAGTATCGTTATCTAACACCAGCATGCTTAACTTTCCATTCATCGCTCTATCCTTAATTGATATCGTTGTCCCGTCGCGTTTGTGTTTTCACTTTCATCGCGAATACCGACGGTGTATCTCATACAGCCAGACACCGTAATTCGTTACGTCATCTCGCTCGGCTCGACTTTAGCTCCCGGGGATCTTCACCGATTTAACTTGTTTACCATTCAAAGTTTATGCCGATGAAGTGTCACAACGAGTCACGACGATCTCAATATTGCAAATTTTGAACGTTATTAACTTAATTTACGTCGCGTTACAAAGTGTACAGTCTCGTGTCATCCAGCCACGATGTTTTTCCCTTATCAGACTATCCGCGTAATATTATGGCCCTTCAACGTTTTAAATGTCCAACTCAATGCGCTGTCGGGATGATATCGGGATGATATCGGGATGGACTCACAGAAATTCGTTGCGCTGTTCGCGACGTTACCGATGCCGTCCAGCAGGGTGGAGGGCAAGGGCTCGGCTGGTGATGCGTGCACCACCACTTCGAGGACGATGCATATCGCCAATGTCAGAGCTCGTCTCGTCGCGCGGCACTTGATCGTTCCTGGTCCCAGTGACATCATTCCGCCGGCCGTAGGCACGTCGCGGAAAACGTCGCGTAGAACGTCACGGAAAATGCAGAAAACGCGGAACACAGGCCGATCTACTTGCTCTCGTGGGAGCAGGAAGACTGACTGACTGACTGACTGACTGACTGACTAACAAGATGAAAAACCGTAGTGCACGAGCCGCTGGTGCACACGCGTGCACACCGAGCGCGTCGTCAGCGAAAGTGAGAGCTCGTACACGCTCGCGCGATTCGCATGTCGCATTTACACGCTCGGCTCGACTCGGCTCGGCGTGTCGTGCTGAAATGCGCGGGTAATCGGTTTTGGATGATGCCGGGGTCTTCTGAGCTCGCGGGTCACGCTGAGAGAAAAAGAAAATGATTAATGTCGCCAAATTATAGTTATTTGCAGCCTCAAACTATACTTTTCCGTTGAGATCTAACAAAAAAGTAGATACAGAGAAATGTACACACTGCATTCGAGTAAATGTTATTTGTTTTAAGTATTTCATAAGTTTGTATCCGCAGATCTATCATAAGTTTGTATCATAAGTATCAAATTTATTCAAAATATATTCTGAATTCTAGTGAGTTTAGCATTTCAATCAAATATATCAAACTAAAATAAAAATTCGGTGTATTTGCATGGAGTTACAAGTTTTCTATGATAAAGTTTTATAGTATTCTTATAAGGGTGAATGAGTTCTTCTTTCGCAAATGACAAAGTACATGATAATGAGCTTTTCTCACTTTATGACGAATATATTGGAAGACTATTATCAAGAAACTGATGTTTATTGAAGATAACTATTACTTAACAGAAGAAAAATAAACTGAGCAATTGCTTTTCTCAACAGTAAAATATTTTTCTGTGTGTAATACATGCACATAAAAAGTTATTATTATCATTGACACTTACTACAAAAATGATTCTCTTGATTTTTCTTGATCTAGGTTTTTCACTACGCGATTACAGCTACAAATATTAAAAACTTTTTTCTCATCGTGCGACTGTAGTTGTCAATTGAATTTTATGAAGATGTTAGCGGATCTCGTCTTGACAACCTGTTGACCTCCATTCGAGTTGCGAGAAGACTATTTCTTAACTTATCTACAAGTTAAAAAGAACGTTAAAATATGCATGGAAAGAATTTCGTAAAAAAAATTTATAGGAAAAATGATAAGATTTTGTAACTAAATAAATCGACATTCTGTAGTAATTCATTATCCTTTCATTTCATACACGAGATAATATTATAGTTTCTTCTTTCATATAAATTCTTTTCAATTTTTATTATATTTTTAATAGTAGAGAAATAGAATGTCAATAAAGTTCGTTTTGCTAAAGAAGATAGCAAATTTTTTAATAGCAAATTTTAGTTCCTAAAATATAAGTAACATATGTGTGATGAAAGGATAGACGATTACGACAGAATATCAATTTATTCCTCTGTTATATTGCTTGAAATTTGCTATATTTTTTTTAGTAAGACAGGCCTTACTGATTATTTTTCTGCAGGCCTATTCTGAAACTTGTTAACGCGTGCGTTACATGTCGACGCGTAGATATTTTACATCACAAAATAGCTGCGCAACGAAGTTTAGCGATAACGAAATTGGCATTAAAAGTTATAGAATAGGCTTGCTAAACTACTAAAAACACAGTAAAAATTGAAAAGAGTTTATATGAAAGGAAAACTATAACATTCTCTTCATGTAGATTTTCTCTCTTAAACAATAAATGTACAGTTCAATTATTTTATGTCGCAAAGAAATTCAAGAAATTGCGTGTCACGAGATTTGTTAGCATTTGCAGACGAAGCATTGAATAGTGAAGTCGATTTTGCGAAAGAACGCACGTGTTGGTGATTGTGCTATTAATCAAAGTTCCGGTTTTATCATTCGCAAGTACAAAGGGTAAAATGACTCACTCGCGCGAATCAGTTTACGCATCCAGATGCGGGAAAAAATATATACAACCGAGTGACGAGACACATCATGTTATTAGGAATAAGATTAATGACTGGTTTCGCCGAGAGAAGTAGAACTAAAAGAATAGAAAAAAAAATATAGGTTACACGAGAGGTTTGAAGTTGGCCGGGGCCGGTGAAATCGTCCGCGGATCGCATAAATGTTCCTCCTACGGTTGCCGATCCGAGCACGCTTACCCGAATAAACAGGCTCGTGTTCTTCACGTTTCCAGGTGGCATAAATTATTTCACTTTGCACGTGAGCGTAAAGATCGTGTCTATTATTAGCGTGTTCACGTCTTGCGAATTCCAAGGATCACGTCAATCCGATCCTGTCTGTATGCATATGTAACACGTCTAGCGAAAGTGAAGGTCTACTTCATTCGTGTACGTAGTCGGGTGTGCAAGTCGGTGTGAGAATTACTATGATCTAACGTGCGAAATAATATTCCACGTCTGGAATAATTACAATCTCGGAGAATTACTCAATTGTATATTTATGTGGCCACGTTTACGTACGTTTCCGCGATGAACACAGAGATGTTGCATACCGTAGCCTGACCGTGAAAATGTCAGCACAGAGCAACACGTGTCGCAGACCGTGACGATGTTTGCACTGTGATTATCTCCTTCCAGCTCGAGTCCGGCATTGACTAACATTTTCGTTAGCCACTTCCGCGTTTGTTACTGGGTAACTGGACTGACGAGTTTGAAATTTGCACGGCGAATCAAAATAATTGTCATTCTCAGTCCTTTCAGAAGCGTAGCCGTGTTAAATTGAGCGTAGCCGTATACAACAGGTTTTTCTAAACAGACATAGTCTTTCGCCTTCCTGGAAATGATCGCTGTCACGGTAAACTAATCAATGATCACGTCTGGCGTAATGGAAAGATAGAACGAGAGAATCAAGAATTTTTGTGTAATCAGGTAGGAGATGCACCATTACGCGATGCACCTCTTCTCGACTATGAATTTCCAAATTCACATTGTGTAACAAGGTCAAACGGATGCGGAAGTGGACTGCGTACACTGGCAGTACATTGCGAGGTAAATTGCCACAATAGATGTCACGGAGGTCGTGAAAAAGGGAGCGCACGGGCGTAAAAGTATTTTACTTGTTGCGTGACTTTACGTGCACGAGACGCGTACGTGACGCGCATGGTGATTGTCGGATCGGCCACCGCGGGAGGCACTTCGTCGTCTCCAGTCAGGCATCTCTGTAGCATCGTAACGAGGAATTACACTGCGGTCTAAAAGTTATTACTCCGGCGAGGTATACGCGCCCATGTACACGTTTATATAGAAGGCAGAATTCTTACCTACTCGAAAGTCGTCTAAATACGTGACTGTAAGACTGCCGATAAATTGTCCACCTTTATTTCTATACGCATAACATTTTCAACTTTGGAATCAGCCTCAGATGTAATGAAAAAACGTATTTTTTAAACTCCTTGTGGAATCTTACTCAAAACGAGCGAAAAGCGCACGAAGCGATAGCGAAAATACTACCACTCGAAATCGCAAAAGTGAAACATTCACTCAAGTTCAGAATAAATTCTTACTTCATATGAGGGAAAAGATAGAGAAAAAAAGATATTAGAAATGAAGTGTACACTGAGAGAAAAAAATAATTGGAATAACTATAATCTCACTATATTTTAAAGTTCCTTTTGGCCTCAAACATATATTTATAGTTCATCTAAACATGAAGATATAGTAGAATGAACACAGATTTATAGTCACCATCTTATTATTCTCTATATATGATAAAGCATCTTTTGGGAATATAGTTATATGTACCTATATTTGCCAAATATTCCAATTGCATTGACTATATAAAATAGTTAATTTCTCTTACCATTCAATATATTTGCCACTTTATTATTATATTTTTTATTTCAAATAATTTTAATTCTTGGTAAAAATTTTACACGGGTCAGTTATACTATGCTTATATTGTAAATATTACAAATATTATGGTAACATTTACTATATAAAAATTATATTCCTAACTATAATCTCTTTTTACTATGCCATTATAGTTCCAAATATCATACATTTTTCTCTCAGTGTAAAGGTTTAGTAATCGAATAGGGTAAGGAAGCAAAATAAAAGTATACGGAAAAAGAATAGCACAAGGACTAGTAGCATAGACTGTACAAGTAAAAATGAAGTACAAAGAATAAGAGGAAAGTTATAGAATACGGAAAACTTCTTCTTGACGATATAGGTTGAAGGAAACATATAGGAAGTGAAAAAAGACAAAGGAATTACTTCATAGAGTTAGTATAAAGAAATATAGAGAAGAGTAATGAAACTAACAACATATGAAAGAAAATAGGAGATGAAGAAATAGGGGAAAAAGAGGATGAAGAAGAAATAAAAAAAGTAATGAAGAGATTGAAAAGGAAAGGTAAAGGGACAGATGTGCATAACTGAAGGTAATAATAGAGTTTGGAGTATTGTATATGAGGACGATATCCGCGTTGAGTGAAATGGGAAAGTGATACGATAGATTAGATAGACATGATAGATAAAAAGAAGGTGTGTAAAAGTAGTGTAAAAGTCAGGTGAAAATTAAAAAGATTGTGAAAGGAGATTACAAGGGTGTTCAGGTAACGAGATATTGTAAAGTCAATTAGAGAAAGGCAGGTAGCTATAAGAATATTAATAACTAGATAAGTAGAAATAAAAATATTTAGATTAGATAAAAATTAGATTTTTAGTTATTTTAGTGAAATGAAATTCATTGCTGTATTATCGCGCGCGATTATTTTATTAGAAAAATAGGGTGACCACTGAGTCGCTCACATTCGAGTTCTCACTCGAAGAAATTTAGAGAGTAGTGGGTGCGATGCAATAACGATTGACGATAATTTAAAGCACATATTTATTGGCACACGAGAAGTTTGACTTAACAGTAAATAAGTAAAATTTCGAATTTAACTTATTTTCTCACATATAATCCCCATGTTTTCGCAAAATATCTCGTATATTCGTATATTTGTATTTCTGCTTACCAAAACGAATAAATGATAATTTACAACGACAAAATGGCGATATACATTTCAAGAGACTTAATTCTATATATCTTTTGATATATTAAATATAATTCGCTCTCACACATATATCGATATAATGAATCAATTGACAATGTTAATACGAAGTTGTCTCGGATTTATAACGTCGCGAGTTTACGCCGTATTACCCAGCATCAATGAACAACATTTGCGACTGACGACGATTTATCGTCCGTCAAGTTATCAGTGTGTTAATTTCGTACCCGTTCAATTCACAAGATCAGAGGACTGATCGTTGATCAGTCAGGTTATTTACCAAGTTACGCGTCCAATGAAAAGTTGCATTCTTCACGAGATAAGAAAAAGAGAATCGCTTCCAAGTTGGCAGGACTCGCAGGACGCGCGTGCAACGGCTTCGCGCGATGAATTTGAGAAACGGATGTGTCCTCGCGAATCCGGTCCGGGGAATCGTCATTTAACGTCCTATAGGCTGCACCGTGGTCGGTTTCGGATAAACCCACGGATTCGGAGCATAAGCCGGCCTTTGAGGTATCGGGTAAGCTGTAATGGCTCCAGGTGCGACCGGTGCGGGAGTAGGTATCGCGTGTACAAATGCCGTCAGAGCCATTAAGGCTGCCGCAACAACAATAACGGCTCTTCCTAGAGAGACCTGGAAGTGGAAATACATACGTTGAAATACGATACGTCTCAATTCTCACAGCGGTGCGAAGTTTCCAAAGGGGGAAAACCGGAGCTGCAATCGCTGCTATTTAATCCAATTCAAAAGTGTCATAATGTAAAAAAAGATAAAAGTAAGAATCAGTGAGAATTGTTATCGTTAATTATTGGCACTTTATTGTGGTAGACCCAAAGAAATTGAAGGAAGAAAACTTTTTAGTGCTCAAATGAAGTATATGATGTCTCCTGACACCTGCGGTTATATTGTTTTCAAGAAATATGAATAAATAATTGTACTTGTGACTATAATCGCACGGTGAAAGTTATTTAGAAGAACCATTTTTGCAGCAAATGTTGTTACACTAAGAGAAAAATACTTGAAAATATCACTCTTTCAAGACGTGTCCTCGGTGATTTTTGTTATTTGGTGACAAAAAAAAATCGAGACTATTAAGACACACCAACGAACAGAACAGGGAAGTAGATGTTGTTTCAGTGCAACAGTGTTAAGTAAACGCGTCTTGCATCTATTGTTCTTGCATACAGTTGGAAATACATGGGAAATCAACCTAGCTTGAGAACAACTTTGCTAAACAAAGGATTAATTAACGTCCGTCTCTTCTATTAATGCGTTACAAACCAAGCTTGTAGAAACATGAAACAATGGATGTGACGTCGGATATATTTTTTAAGAAAATAATTCTCGTATTACTTCTAAAAACGCGTAGTTCGAAACACCAAAAAGGTTAATTATAAGGTAATATATTTCTTCCTTCTCATCGCTTTTTTTTGGGCTTATTATATAGGTGAATTATTTCGTAACTCTCTCTCTCTCTCTGCGATAACCGGCCTTATCACCAGTTCTAACGTGATTGGGGCAACATTTTCAACGCGGCCGTCGTGTCTCGTACCATCGCGTGTGCGAGCACGCGACGCAAAAAATCGTTTTCCGTCAGACATTTTAATAGGAGACTTTTACCGCTTGCACTGCTCTATCGTTTAAATTGCTACACACCAGTGCAAAAGAAGGAAAAAAACGTCGCGGACAGAGAGCGTTACTTTCGCTGGGGTTATTTGAACTATGTGACGCGCGAACAAATTCTACGAGCAACATAAACGCGTCGCGTTGCATCTCCGCTTTCGATTAAATTACGTTGCCGAGCGGAGATATATGGATTCATCAAGCTCTGTCGCCGCTAAGCCACGGTCATTAATTATAGCCATCGGCCGAAAAATCTTCATATCGAAACGACGGACCTTTCGCGCGTCGAAGCAAGGTGACGATTCTAATTAATTGGGTCACTTAAAGTTAGGTAACTTTCATTCTCACTTATATAAGTTTGTCGATCGAGCATTAGAAGAAATTGTCGATACCAGTATAAACAACAAACATCATAACTCTAAAGCGAAATCATTAGATTGCAAATTCACTGTTTATTAATTTAAAAAGAAATCGTTAGAAACATTTGTGCGTAGGTCCCAATTACGTCAGCAAATATTTTGCATTCCTACAACAGGTTATACGATATCCAATTGGATTTCAATTTTATATTCATAATATTCATATTCTAGTTACTATATAGAATAATGACATGTGTGACACAATCTACTTTTTATAAATCTAAACTATTTTATAAATATAAACATAGACCAAACGATATTCTAGATTTCTTTTCAAATCTAACAATACTTATGAATATAATTTTATAATACAATTGGAAGAACTGAATAATATGAAAAAATTTCGTCTGTGTTTTAATCATAATGTGTATTCTATTAATACATTGATGATTTAAGTTTAAAACTCGACATGGAATCAGGATTGTTACTTTATCACGCGGCAATAATATATTTGCACCCCAGAATTAAATTGAAGAACAAGTACAAAGTACAAGTATTAAAATACAAGTTACAAAGCTACTTCTTGTACGTTTCCGAGAATTTTATAACGTAATTTGAATGATCACTGTTACGAAATAGCCTGTAGCATATTGTTTTTCAGTTTCACGTGGTTAAAAAGAGACGAGCGTATTCAAGGAAAGATTACTGCGGTGCGCGTTGCAACGATCGCGATTATTACGTTATATTACTGTTATTAAGGAAGACATTCTTGCGCGGGAACGCGAATAATTTGGTGAAAATAATAGCAGAATATCGCGTGGGAAGGAATTCTCGCGCATGTTATCGTCAATAAACTTCGTGATGGGATTGTACGATCGCTCGTTCGAATGCAGAAATCGTCGGCGCGCAATTTACGTTGAAATCGACCACACACCCGGAAAGAAAACTGAGCGAGCGATCTTATTTAATTCACAAATTCGATGGAAGCGAGCGATTGTAATTGAGTTAGCGGCATGAATAATGCATTGTCGGTCTCTGTTCTTAACCAGAGGAATTTTCACCGTGATTTTCCGTGTTGACTCGTAAAAGAGATGATCGTGGAATCGATAAATTAAAAAGGTCATAAAACTATATTGAGAAAGGTATTTAATATTTGGGATTATAATTGCACGGTGAAAGAATAATATTTAGGAGAACCATTTCTGCAATAAGTGTGTTATTACACTGAGAGCAAAATATTTAAAGATTTAGTATAGGATATAAAGTTTACCCGCAGAAATAAACTTTATTTTACAGAAATAAATTTTATATTTCATAAATAAATATTCAAATATTTTTCCTCAGTGTATAATGATAGTGATTATAGTCTTACGTGTAAAAAAAGTTGTAGTAAAAATTACAAAAAAATTTTTGTAATCTTAGACTACAATATTATGACAGAAATTACGGTATGTTTATTTAAAGATGTTATGCATATTTGACTTTTTACTACAAAATTATTCTAATTATTTGAATGATTTTTATATCGTATATATACCAGAGGTAGATTGTCAAATTGACTATTTATATAATAATTTATACTATAACTTCAGTGTAGTTCAGTTTTACAAAAAATATTGTAAGGAGAAATATAATTTCAACGTAATTTTTACTACAATATTTTCTCCGTGTAGTTGGCGTCGAAAGTGACTATAATTTTAATGAGATTCACTTTTTTTTCTCTCAGTATACAAGTAACAATTCATAAAGCGCAACGAGGCATGACTCATGACGTATACTGCATTAACGGGATCGATCGTGTTTTTATTTTAAAAATTCAGAATTTGTCCACTCATTAATTCAATGATTGTTAACGAGAGATCTAACGTAGCACGATTGATATTAATCAATTCTCTTTACTCTATCGTGAAGAGAGTATCGGTAAAAACGTGCGACTACATCGCAGAGTTTTAATATTTATTTATACATTTTACGTTCTCCTGTCTAACGTATTACCATGATATCGGAGCTCTCAGATGTTCCTTGCCAACTCGGGTGCTCGAGGCGAACAGTATGAATCCTCAAACGTTAGCAGACTTTTATACCGGTGGATTTTAAGAGGTGGATATTCGGGTCAGGATACGTAAGAAGCGATATCGCCCGTATATCGCGCGTGTCCAAGGAAATCCCATAAACGAGCAGGTGTTCGTATTCATTCATGCTTGCTTCTATTCACAGCATCCGTATGCCGAATGAATACGCGTCGTAAATGTCTAGATCGCGTGAGAAGGATACTGTTATTCACACTCAGTCGTGTAATGGTGTGAATATCCACTAGGATTTCACATGAGTACTGAGAATTTGACATTGCTTCTAATCAGATGCTTGTAGAATGATATATACTAATGTGGATTTAATTAATATGAATTTGTGAATTAATGATATGTATTCTCCCACCCTCTCTCTCTCTCTCCTCTTTCTCTCTCTCGCTCTCTCTCCTTTTTCTCTCTCTCTCGCTCTCTCTCCTTTTTCTCTCTTTCTCTCTTTTTAATAAGAATTTTTTACGAATTTCTCAGACAAAATCATCGCCGGCATTCATATCTTGCAAAACTGGATATCCGCTTTTGTCTACTTTTTCTTTTTATTTCAGCAACAGATTGCTTTTACTAGTTTGTTGCGTCCTTAAAATTCAGTTCTCGAAGTAATAGTTCCTCGCGCCGAAAATCCGAACCAATGACCAACAATTAGCCAACAAACCTTGACACGCAACGCAATTCGCGCACACTGAATACTAATAGATATTGTAGCTAATATAAAAGCCTTTCCCACGATCGTTCTAAACGTTGTGCAAACGTGAATCGCAATTCTGAAAATCAGTCGTTAGCGTCTATAATAGACTTTTTAACGAAGTTGAAGTGAATTTCGTCTCATTGAAAATTTCATGGAAACTTCAAGATGAGATTATCTAACGACTGGAAATTACGCAACGTTCACAGAAACGTTAACGCCGCTATTATCCTTCTTGATCAAAGCTACGTGTGTGCTTTGATCTTTAATCTACAAGATTGATTGTATCAACAATTTTATATACGTAATCGCGATATTAATGAATTTTTTGTATATTATTCTTGATCGCGACTATTTTGTGATTCATCTAATTATTAGTAAAATGACGTTGCGCGTATTTAAGGACAAATTTGATTTACCGCGTTTCTATTAATCGTATAAAATAAACTATGTACATACAATTTGCTTTTTTGGTCTTGAAAAATAAAGACGTTTGATAAAGACAAAAAATCCCGATACATACGTATCATTGTTCATCTTATAATTATGTTTATAAAACGTGATATTCTTACAAGTTTTAGAAACGTGGTTACACAAGTAAATACTCTATTGCAATAATTCAGATATCATATTATGCATTGTCTTACACAGCGTAACAAGTTATACTCTGTAAATCGTCTATATAAATCTAATCTAATATTTATAACTATTATTTATTTAATATCAAATTAATTTAATATTAATTATTATATAATTAATATTAACTTATTACAGAATATATATAATTAATATTAACTTATTACGGGATATATATAATTAATATTAACTTATTACGGGATATATATATATATAACTTTATACTAAATATACTAAAACAAAAATACTTATAATAAAATATACTTATATAAAATATACTTACATAAAATATAATTAATAAAATATACTTGATACTAAAATTTTATACTATGTGCTAAATTTTACATATAGAAATTTTGTATTTTAGAAATGCTTTATATTCTATGTCCATATCGTTAGTAAGTTAGTAGTATTTCCTGTTAGAAAAATATAATTCTATAAGTTATATCTGAATTATTCTTATGGAAACTTTTATCTTATGAAAACTATACTATATAAAATTGAACAGCCTTAAAAGTCAATTTTCACTATCAACAAAAAAATATCATTTATGTACATAAAACATACTTAATCTTTGAAAAAAATCTATTTAAAATTCCTACCTCAAAAATTGGAACAATATATTCACGGGATCCTATTTATAATATTATCTGCTATGTAATTTGGATAATTTAATGTTCTAAATTTTCCAAAATATATAAATATACACCCACACATCACACACACACATACATACACACACACACATATATATATATA